ATACCTCATGGATGTTGTATCCAGAACCATGCCTATCTAGTTCTATTTTTCTATGCCTGAATCATCATCATCATCATCATCATCTTTCATCCTCCATAATAGAGGTGGAGCATACAAAGTTAGATCTCCAGAACTGTTTGTCATTCATCACAGAGATACGTTCCTGGCCCTCCAAGCCTGTTTCAGTTTCAATAAGTTTCTTAAGTGTCATGTTTGGGCGTCCAACTCTTCTCGTACCGGTATCAGGATTCCAGAGTAGAAGCCTACTGACTGGTTCTTCACTACATACTACATGACCGGCCAAGCTTAGTCGTCGATATTTAACTACTGTAGATACATTTGGTAACGAACCGTATAACTGTTCATTAGTAGTATGTATTGAAAACTACTCGCAGCATCTTCGTGTATGTCCCGTTTAGTTTTCTGGTTGCCTGAATGGGTTAGGGTTAGGATCAGGATCAGACACGGATAGTCTCTGCGTATCCAAGAACATAGATTTGCCCATGCACGGTTCATTTCCACTATCCAGGACCGTGCTTGTTCATGGATAAAGCACAGTTATTGAAATAATGGAAGTTCTAATGTTGTTTGAAGTTTGTGTCTGGCAACTCAAGATGAAAGAAAACAAGTTTTCTTATTAAACGTGTTTCTCCCCGGCAGGACGTGGTGCCCTCCCGAGTGAAGGAGCTGCTGAGAAAATCGTCCAAAGATCGGACAGAGGAGGAGGCAGAGACGGTCAGTACAGTTTTTTAAAACAATTTGTTACGATAAGTGCAATGCAAAGAAACCCACTGCTAGGTACATAGCTAAGTTCGGGTTACTAGAACATCATTTCGTCTTCCTATTAAATTCAGAGACTAAAGCGCAAGACAAGCTGGAGTCAATGAGAGTGAGGACGAAATGAGTCAATGCGAGAAGCAGGAAGAATGTTCTTATGTCTTTGTTTTGTTGATTAATGTTTCAATTTGTGCAAATAAATAAAATGTTCCCTACCGCAGACAGGAATGGTTTTGATCCACTATGTGTAGTGGGTCGATAAACCTGCTTGAGCCAGCGTGGCTCTCTCACACACTCCAGAGTTATGAAGCCTTAGATTTTGGCCACATGTCTTCTGTTTTATATATCTTTACCAAGCTTTACCAAACTTAATCGTGCCCCCTCCCCTCCCCAGATCGTGCGCACGATGCAGAAGATGCCCGACTTCGCGCTTTTCCCGTTCGAGATCCAAAAACAGCTGTGCCAGGTGGCCTGGTACGACAGGTACGCGGGATGGTGTTTGTTTGTTTTTTGTTTATTCATTACCGTGTGTATCAAAAGAAGTAGAAGGTGAACATACGATCGATCACTACTTTTGTTTGCATGAATGATTCTAAGACATATGGAACTTATTGGTAGGCATATGCAAATTACTGGTAGGTATATGTAAATCATGGTGTTTATAATATATTATAATATTTGACCCTCTGGCCCCCAGTTTCGGGACGGGCCGTGTGATAATCCGGGAGGGTCATGCCGCGGACGGCTTCTACTTCGTCCTGTCGGGAAGACGTGAGTAGAACTGATTGATTGAATTGATCAATTCCGTGAGTTTGTTTTTACATTTGTTAATAGATCTACAACAGATTTTACTTAATTTTCTCCTCAGTCGTGGAGAGCTACGCTGCTGAGGACGAGGCCAACACGGTCCTGCGGCATGGGATGAAGTTTGGGGTAAGAAACACATAAATTAACAAACAAACAAGTAAATAAATAAATAAACAAATAAACAAAAGTACACAGCCTTCTTGTGGTACTTATGGTCAGTACTTTTTAAAACATCGTCTCTATCCTGGGAAGGAGAGCTGTTGCCATAGTAACCGCCTGTGCGTTTACCGCCCTAGGAACGAGAGCTGCTGACGCGAACCAAGCGGAGGTCAACAGTACTGACCCAGGAAAGGACAGAGCTGTTCTGTGTGCATGCGCAGGTGAACATCTTTTGTTTGTTTGTTTGTTTGTTTGTTTGTTTACTTGATTGAATTTTCTATGTGTTACAACGTCAGTGGAGTGGGAGGAAAATAGACGAAGGTTGCCTTTATAGGTGTGACGTTCCAATTCTGTACACGTAGATAGAGAGTATATGAATCAGAAAATGTGTCAAAATATGCTTAAAAAAGTATGATAAGACACTTACGATTACGCTTATGATTGCAAAGCCAACCTTTCAACAAGAAGGTGTGCAAAATTGGATTTGTGTACACTTGATTTCATAACTTTTTATTTGTTTTACTTTCTTGACAGGATTACGATAGAATATTCAACCTACAAGAGGACAGGGAGACCGCAAATTTAAACGTCTGTAGGTAGGTGGGCCTTCGTTACAGGTGACGCTTAGGGACTTTCGTCTGGATTTTTTTTTCTGTCGGTTTCCCTACACCACAAAAAATGCCTTGTGTATTATGTTCCAGACATATATCAATATTCAAGCTCTGGCCGTTCCAAAAGCTACTGGAACATCCGGACGCCTGGACCATGCAGAACTACCAGTAAGTAGGCTTGTCATTAAAAGCAGCCTTTCACCATCATTGTCAGAAATGCAGATCATGTCTACAATGTTGTTGTTATTCATATTTAAGAAAACTGTTTGCTTATCTACTAGTATTCATTTTGTTTGGCTGGTGCATATACATTTGTTTTGAAATTACCTTATAAAATGTTAATGAAAATTAAATGTTTTTTACAGACCAGGTTTCGTCATCGTGCCTGACAGTAGAAGGTGCGACTGGATCTACGTGGTTAAAACGGTACGTACTGTTAATGGGTATTAGGAAAGAGAGGCAGACAGATAGAGATTTTAGAGGTAGAAAAACAGAGACAGGGAAATATGCCAAAGAAGAAAAAGAGGGACTGAAAAACAGGGTGAGCGAGGGAGACAAGAACAAAGAGTGAAAGACTGAGATAGAAAGACTGAGAGAGAGACGTGAGTGAAACGTGATCTTTTTCGCAACGATACTGAACACGCACAGCCTATCGTATCCAGAACCGTACCAATCTAGTCTATGCCTGAATGGGTTAGGCGTTCGGTCAAGCACGGT